TCTGGAAACAAAATGTAATGGAAATAAAGCCTTTTCAATATTTTTGTAAACTGCATGTTATTTATTTACACAGCCATAATTATAAAGTTAATAGTAGTTATAGTAATAGTAGCAATAGTAATAGCAGAATGGAAAAAATAACATTTAATCAAAATAACCCAATGCATTGGGTTAAATAATATAACCCAATGCATTAGGTTAAAATAACTTATACTTGGGAAGGTGCTATAATAACCTATAGTTGGGTTATATGTTGTGGTGTTTTTGCTTGTATACTCACAAAATTGTTTGTCTGATAAAAATCCTGAATCAAACCTCCACTGATTTACTCGGCCTCTAGAATAAGAAAGATTTAGGTTAAGTGAATGTAGAGCATGATCGGAGATGACAATAGCAGAATAATCAGAAGTGCTAACTAAAGGTAAGGGAGCTTTATAAAAGAAAAAAAAAATCAATGCGTGAATGAGATTGATGAACACTTGGAAAAAAAGCAAAAAATCTTTTTTTAATGGGTCGAGAAAGCGCCATGGGTTAACACATCCAACCTGATCCACGAAAAAAGACACTGCCTTAGCCATAGCAGTTTGCTCTAAAGTTTTAGAATTCGACCGATCAAGCCTTGGCTCCATAACACAATTGAAATCGCCTCCCTGTGTTGGGGTATTTTTAACCCAACTATTTTAACAGAGTAAGCTATGGAATGGCCCTCAGCATCAGGAATGCTGCTTCTCCGGACTCACTGTTTTAAGAAACTTCTCAAGACTCACCTTTTTACTGTTGCTTTTAACTTAGATTGATTATTTTTGTTAATTTAATCATCCAAATGTACTGAATTGTTCATATTTTATAGTTTTATTGTGGTCTTTTTTTACTGTTTTTATTGTTCTGCTTTGTTACTGTTTGCCTTGTATGCCTTGTAGCGCTTTGGGTCTGAGTAAAGCGCTCTATAAATAAAAGCTATCATTATTATTATTATTATTATAAAAGTATTTTTTATTATACTCAATATTTTTTATTTTAGTATGTACGTAAAATCTTATATTGTTGTGATTACCGTCTTCTAGGCTTAAAGATGGAACCATTTTAAAAGATTAAAAAAACACAGTGACTGCTCGCCAGTTTTGAGGAAACACAACACAGCAGGGTTAGTTGTGACCAATGACTGTAAAAAATATGGACGACGCGACAGCCCTTTTTCCCATTGAACGCCTTGAGGGCAAAACGCCTGCTTGACGGGCACAAACTGTCGCAAAAGACTGCTGAAATTGGAGCCAGACATGCGCAGAAGGACTGTCTGATGGAGCCAGAGGAGGAGCCGCGAAAATGAGCAGAGTCGAGCTTCCAATCAAACGCTTTATGTAAAATCAACTACGCCCCCCGAACTTCTCAGCATGCGTTTGCTGTTATATCAACACAAATGGATGTAATAACGTTAACAAATATGAGGGTTTTATATATTCAATCGCGCCAGCTCCAGGCCGCAGCGCACAACTTACTCGCGGCGTCGCGGGCTGATTCCGGCTCGCATGCGGCAGCGCCTGCTCGCTCGGCCGCCGCATCTGGCTCGATTGACTCGGACTGGAATCGGGCAGTGAGTCCAGGCATCCGGAGTAGGTCCAGCAGAGGTAACATTAGTCAGTCTGAGCTCTAAGAGATAAGTCTCCGGCAGGCGAGAATCTAGCCGGAACTGTGTTTTGCCATCTGGGTGGCTAGGCGTGTATCAGCAAACTAATAAAGCCCGAAAAAAGCCCTGAACTTAGCGAATAAACAGTGTTCCACCAGGATCATGTATGTCAGAAACTATAGTTTACTGCTGAACTCATTTTGTCATGGTAAAATAACACAGAAATCGAATAATAACATTTCAGTCTACTTCAGTCTCCTGCCGAAGCTCAGACGCCGCGCTTTGAGAAACTGTCAATCACAGCTGTCAATCACGATGACACGCCCAGCATTAAATTACTGCTAAAAACAAACTGTTAACAAAAGTGAAGATCTGCACCTATTTCAGCACAATAACCAGTGCCTTAATCGACCAGAACTATCTTTCGGGACATTTTATTGCAAGTGTAATATTTTTTTTTATTTGGGCTCAAGTCTCCTTCATTAACACGGAGGAGGCGGGCTTTATGACTTGTACTGCAGCCAGCCCCCAGGGGGTGATCTAACGGCCGAAACCTTCACTCAAACGTAGGCTTGCGGCACACTTGGTTGTGACAGGGTGTTACAATTAAGCCACACACTTTTGGACAACCAATTAAACTAGCAAAATATTTTATTTTAATTTTGAGTGTAACGTTGAGAACTTTTTATATTAAAATGTTTTTTACTAGAATATATTTTTTAAATAGACAAAAATATATATTTTATTGCTAAAAATGCAAATAAACGCATCGTATAATAATGAATAAATGGATATTAATGCAAATAAATCCAAATGTGTTTATACAATAGATAAATAAATAAACATGCTGTACTATGTAGAATAAATAAAAAATATAGCTACTATTTAAAGTAAACTGTATTTTAATCTACTGTGTGAAATTTGCCTTTGTAAGCATGTGTTACAACTAACCCTCTGTCTGTTACAACTTGCCCAGCAGGTGGGGTAAAGAGAAACATTTCTACTCCTGGCACTGTTGGCAATACTGCACAGAAACCAGCTGTCCGGCGATCATAACTTCAGTGCTCATTTGTAAGAGAGGCTTGTGTTTTGATTGGTAAAAAAAAAAAAAAAAAAAAAAAAAAAATATATATATATATATATATATATATATATATATATATATATATATATATATATATATATATATGTCAATTTTATATATATGTCAATTTATGTGTGTGTGTGTGTGTGTGTATATATATATACATATATAAAATGTATACATAAAATGTCAATTTACAATGGCTGTTTTCTGTTTGAATTAATCTTTAAAGTGAATTTGTTTTCTGCATAATTATTCCAGTCTTTGGGTGTTTGCAGTCTTACTGTTAATCTCTCTCCTACTCAGGCCCAACAAAGTCTGGATGCAGACGTGATGCAATCTAAGACAATTTCGGCTGCGCATGCACATTCAGACAGTTGTAATCATGTGTATTTGAATATATGTATTCTCTTATCATGTCATATTTAAAACTCCCCAGAACATCATTATATATATATATATATAGGTATTCTCGTGCATGGGCACTTTGCAGTGGGTTAAAGACAGAAATACACCAAAATACGGTTTACAAACTAAAGGCACGACAGACGAAAGAACTACCTGTATGTATATATCTCACTGAAATTAAAAATATAATTGTGAGCTGTTGTGAGCATACTCTTTTACTGCTTTAACTGCTTTAATAAAAGTGTTAGCAAATGTTTTTACAATACAGAAGGGGACACACTATCCTCATTTATATTGGACATTAAGTTTGTAAACCCATTTTTTTTAAAAATGTGAACATCTAAGAACATATTAAAATAAATCTGTCTTTAATCACATCATGATTCCTGTAATGAATATTCAGAAACAATTCTGAACAATACAATAATCTGCTCTCTACATACTTGTGGTACTTGAAGGTTTGTTCTTCTCTCAGTCGCATCACATTCTCCGTGTATATCTCCTCTGCATCCTATTAAACCAAGAACAGCCGTGTTTAATATTATAATGATTTACAGACACTCAGACAAGTGCAGATAGACACTAGTGGTCCTGCTCAAGTTCAAGTTCATTTATTTATAAAGCACATTTAAAAGCAGTCACAAGAAGACTGACCAAAGTGCTGTACATAAGACAGGGTAAAAAATAAAAAGACAGAATCTAAAACATAGAAATAAAAAAGAGAAATATCTGTGAAAATGAAGCAGTAAAAAGGACTATTAAATTAATCTTAAAAAGCCAAGCTAAAAAGGAAAGTTTTAAGAAGTGATTTAACAATAGATAATGATGGAGCCATTCTAATCTCAAGGGGCAAGGTGTTCCACAACCAAAGGACCCGCCACAGAGAGAGCTCTGTCCCCTCTACGTTTTCAGCCAACATTTTACCCCTGTCTTACTAGATAAGTGTCTTTTATGACCTTTTTATGAACTCTCATTACATACATTTTCAATATTTTTTAAGTGTATTTTGAGAACATTTTTAAGTGTCATGTCTCAAAATCCAACATGAGAAAGTGATGCTCCAGGACACTGACCGAATCCAGGACACTGACCGAAACCATACAGATATAAAGTTACATAATTCAAACACTTCAAACAATACAAACAATAATTAATTGCTATTCTTATAATAGTGTTAATAAATACAATTATAATCATTCTTTAACAAATAGATGCGAACATAAGAGTGCCTATATTCAATTTTGAACATTAATTAAGATAAATCATATATATTTCTTCTCCTTGTTGTCAAATAACAGAACAAATTCTAATGAACAGGTAATTTATAAAGCCAAACAGGAGTCAGTAAGACACGCCGCCATTTTATGAATCTCAGCATCACATTACTTCTGTATTTGGAGTGTAAATGGAGTTTGATAAGGCAGATCTGCTGCTTTTAATGGATATACACTAATATATATCGTGTTTCATGTTTAAACAAGCGCTTATACAGTGCTAATAACTTACATTTGAGGTACAAAATAAATACTAAGACAAATCTTACCTGTAAACGTATTTAAATCGACTCTGATTAAAAAAACAAATCTCTGGTTCACCAAAACACCTGTAATGCTTCATCAAACAGGAAATATTAACGAGTCAAACAAAGATTTCCTGAAAAATCCGTTTTATTTCGCTTCTAACACAGCCGTGAAGGAAATAAACAACGGCTAACGTTAACTAGCGTATTTTTCAACTCGGAGAAGCTCCGCCCACCGCGCAAAACTGACCAATAACCTAACAGCTGACTGTAGAATGTTGGAACGCGTTCGAATTTATGACGGAGTAGGAGACACATAGCCTTTTACAAACCAAATTCCGCCATTGCTCTTATTTGACAAGTAACTAGTGAGTTGCACAAAGTTTGCTTTAAATAATTTGCTTTTCTTACATTGTCAATTGATAGCGTACGGTTTATTGAGGCTTACTCTGATAAACTAGCCTTACTTACAGTAAATTTCAGTGTTTATTGTAGGTGTATTTAACATTTCTCATATTTAAGTGTACGGAAACTAATCCTAATGTTATTTACCGTACTCGGAGCTATTGCTCTCTTCCTGAGAGAAAGAAACATCAGTACCACCGTCTCAGGTCAAGATGAAACACTGGACCATCAAGAAGAAGGACTGGTCACGGTACCACCACCTGTGACCAACACTGATGGTAAATAATGTTGTGTGTTTAAAGAACATGTACCTCATTTTGTACACTAGAGTCTGTGTAGGGCTCTACACCTGTTTTACCCTACTGTAAATATTATTTACTAAAAAACAAAGTGAATATTAACACAGGCCTAATGAAAACCGCTCTACACAGGGTGTCAAACGTCTCACAAATGTGTCTAATATGGTGCCAACAATGATATAAAATAATAGTTTTGTCTTGTTTCTAGCCCAGATATCTCAAAATTCTTAAATCAAGAATCTTTGTTCTAGACGAGCGAAAATATTTCCTGGTTTTTAGAAATAATGAGTCAAAATTAAGTAATTTTTTCCTTAAAACAAGCAAAATAATGCTTTGAAATACATTTTACTTGCCCTCTGGCAGATTATTTAGCTTGTTTTAACGAACGCTTGTTTTGATATAATTCTGAAACAAGAAAATATTTTTACTTACTAAAATGCTTCTTGATTTAATGTTTTATATTTGGACTAAAAACAAGACAAAAACTAAGTAAAGTATTTTTGCTTTGCATTAAGTTTTTTAATTATGCATTGGTAATCTGTAAAGACAAAATCATTTTCTCTGCTTCAAGATGGAAGGGTTAGTTCACCCAAAAATGCAAACGCTGTTATTAATTACTCACCTTCACGTCACTCCAAACACCTAAGACCTTCTATCGTCTTCTGAACACAAATGAAGATTTTTTAACATCCTAATTTGTGTTATAAAATGAACAGAAAAATGTTGTCTACTGCCATGCAAAATTAATAAATAAAATCTCAATGTGCACAGGGAAAATAATATGCTAGATTTCCTTAAGAATATAGTGCATCACTTTTGCATGCCTCTTTATGAGTATCCTAGTAAATGGTTTTGCTCAAATTTATTGGTTGGTGTAACCCAATGTTTTAAGCAGTTTTTGTTTACAAATTTAAGTTATTTCTACCATTAAAGTTTTGTTTACCCAATTATAAAATCTTAAGCTCATTTTAATTAAAAATGTTTAGTTCTTAACTTTAAAATACCAAGTCACTTATCAGTTAACGTACAATTATATACATTACAAAAGGTGGAAGAAGCAACAGATAACAGGAGAGTATTCAAGTAAAGAACTTCTTTATTAAGCAAATGCATCTTAAAACATTTCTTAAAGCATTTTTAGTTGTCCAAAAAATTGCAAAAATGTAAAAAAAAAAAATGTACTGCTTTAATATAAACAATTGTTCAAAAACGGTTTCAAGAGTATTTTAAAAGCTGTGCTTGTCAAACATTCAATGGGCACCAAAAAGAAAACAAAAAGATCATTTAAATACGATAATATACATTACTGGGTGTCATGGTGGCACAGTGGGTAGCACAATCGCCTCACAGCAAGAAGTTCTCGACTCAGTTGGTGTTTCTGTATGGAGTTTGCATGTTTTCCCTGCATTCGCGTGGGTTTCCTCCGGGTGCTCCGGTTTCCTCCACAAGTCCAAAGACAAAGTATAGGTGAACTGGGTAGGCTAAATTGTCCGTAGTGCATGTGCGTGTATGGTCACAATTTTCGGTATGTGCTCTTCAATGTCCTGCTGGCCTGTTTCCCCACAGGTGTCCTGAAATAAAACAATAAAACAAAATGTAGATTTGATTCGACACCCCTGTTAGATTCCTCGTCTCTACTTGTAATTTACTGTCATCTACTGGTGGCATCTCAACACCACTAAATCCTTTAGGAATATGTCCTTTATAGTTTTTACATGTAGTTGTTTTTGCCAAGCTTAGGGTTATTTTATTCATTGTTATATGACACAAAATGTAACAGCTATAAGTTCATACTGACATGTATTTATACAAAACAAATCATTGATTTCAAAGTGAATTAGATTATGAACAGTAAATTCATCATGTGACATTTTTAATTTAGGCATAATAGGCCTAATTTAATGACTGAAAGGAAGATCTCAATATCCAGAAGACTAATATCCAGTGTCTAACCATGAACGTAAAGAGCACCTATAATGAAAATCATCTTTTGTAAGCTGTTACGACACAACTGTGTGTAGGTATAGTGTGTCCACTGTCATATTAAGAGTGATATAAACCCAATAAATCTCTTTTTTTTCTGAAGTTAAAATACAAAGCAGGTTCTGTTTCCCAGCTGTCTCTTTTCTTTTTTTTTTGCTGGACATTATGAGCGCTGCTCCGTTTATGCCCTCGCCATAGTAGTCATACTAATAGCAATCATTTCCATCTGTTTCAAGCTAAAAATATTTGAAATTACATATCAACACAACAAAACCGAGATGTGATCACAATCTGAGCATTTGCGATCAATATACTTCACCCGCAGCTGCTTTTCAGTCATTTATAACCCTCATGCCAATGTCAGAGCTACAATTCACTGATGTTTTCAGAGATTTAACATTAGTCATTGGTGATGATGTTATAGCGGGTTAGTGTCTGCTTTTATATTTGGTGTCGGATTAATATTTGCTGAATATCTGTTTGTTCACTTCTGCTATTTATACTCTGATTTGCGTTTTAATAAGTAAATTTTTTTCTGCTTAACTGCAAATTAGAATAGAAACTGTATAAAAAGCGCAAACATACTGACAGTAATAGATACTGTACATTGTTATGGGTCAATAATGTTAATAATTAGCACAAATCCATCAATTTCCCCTTTCTAGCTGTTCTTTCTATGACTGAATTATGGAGAAGCACTGTTCATGTGTGTTTCCTCGTCGGTTAGTAATGCTATATTTCATGCACAACATAATCAGGCTTTTTGGCTAAAAATAGAGAAATCACGGTTTAATCAGTTATTATTGAGTTATTTTGGTTATTTTAAAATGTCACCTCTCCTGCTGTGCATGAACTAAGCTGTTGAATGGTCAGTGTATGAGGCGGCTAGGCTAACCTAGCTTCAATTGTGATTAAGTTATTTTCTAATCGGTTGCCTATTATGTGGTGAATATACTCCTGTAATGCATAATGCAGTCCTGTTTTGTCTGGCTTTCTCGGATATCTCACCTGTTTGCCAAAAATGACCAATTATATCCATGGGAATGTCTGACACCGGCGCATACACATCACAATAGACATGCCAGGCACGAAAGCTTGACAGGCGTAGCAACAGTTACTAAGGAGGGCGGGACCTAGCGAATGGTCTATTATCTGATGGGTATGTTGAGCTGAACTTTTACAGACACCTTCTGGAGACACCAAAGGCTTATCTTACATCTTGTAAAAGGGGTCAAATAGGTGCCCTTTAACAACAAATATTTGGATGACCTGATTATATATACATTCAGCAACTCGATTAAAATCACGATGCTGGTCACAGCAAAAACATCCCTGCATGTACACACACTAACCCACAACTAAAAGTAGAAAGAAATGACCCTAAAAGTCACTTCATAATTGACAGCATTTGATTATATCAATTGTAAACACTGGATAAATGTTATTTAACTAAAACTAAAATCTTTTGTTTCATATTATTCCTTCCTTTAGGTCCAGAAATCGGTGACTGGTGTGAAGAATCATCTTTGCATCTGGAGGAACAGATCGATGTTCAGATTGAGGAACCATCACTGGAGGAACCTGTTGATGGTCAGAGTGTGGAACAATCACTGGTAGAGCCTGACAGTGTTCACGGTGAAGAACCATCACTGATAGAGCCTGACAGTGTTCACGGTGAAGAACCATCACTGATAGAGCCTGACAGTGTTCACGGTGAAGAACCATCACTGGTAGAGCCTGACAGTGTTCACGGTGAAGAACCATCACTGGTAGAGCCTGACAGTGTTCACGGTGAAGAACCATCACTGGTAGAGCCTGACAGTGTTCACGGTGAAGAACCATCACTGATAGAGCCTGACAGTGTTCACGGTGAAGAACCATCACTGATAGAGCCTGACAGTGTTCACGGTGAAGAACAATCACTGGTAGAGCCTGTCGATGATCACAGTGAGGACTCGGCCAGCTCCTCCAGCAGTAATGATGTTCCTCCAAACATTTCCTACGCTGAGTCCAGCAGTAGTGATGACTTCCCTCAAGAGTTTTCCTCAGCCGGATTCAACTGTAGTAGTGAGCTCACTGCCAGCTCCTACAGCAGCTTCTTCTCTGCTGAGTCGGGCTGTGGTGATGACCCCTCCACAGATTTTCTGTCAGCTGAGTCGGGCTGTGGTGATGACCCCTCCACAGATTTTCTGTCAGCTGAGTCGGGCTGTGGTGATGACCCCTCCACAGATTTTCTGTCAGCTGAGTCGGGCTGTGGTGATGACCCCTCCACAGATTTTCTGTCAGCTGAGTCGGGCTGTGGTGATGACCCCTCCACAGATTTTCTGTCTGCTGAGTCCGGCTGTGGGGATGACCCCCCTCCAAATGTGGTCCCTGCTAAGCCTGGCTGTAGTAATATCAAATCTCCAAATGTGGTACCTGCTAAGCCTGGCATTCATTTCAAATATCCAAATGTGGTACCTGCTAAACCCGGCTGTAGTACTACCAAATCTCCAAATGTGGTCCCTGCTAAGCCTGGCATTCATTTCAAATATCCAAATGTGGTCCCTGCTAAGCCCGGCTGTAGTAATATCAAATCTCCAAATGTGGTCCCTGCTAAGCCCGGCTGTAGTACTACCAAATCTCCAAATGTGGTCCCTGCTAAGCCTGGCATTCATTTCAAATATCCAAATGTGGTCCCTGCTAAGCCCGGCTGTAGTAATATCAAATCTCCAAATGTGGTCCCTGCTAAGCCTGGCATTCATTTCAAATATCCAAATGTTGTACCTGCTAAGCCCGGCTGTAGTAATATCAAATCTCCAAATGTGGTACCTGCTAAGCCCGGCGTTCATTTCAAATCTCCAAATGTGGTACCTGCTAAGCCCGGCGTTCATTTCAAATCTCCAAATGTGGTACCTGCTAAGCCCGGCTGTAAAGATGTCGCTAAAGGTGCAACCTGTAAGACAAAGGACGCTGATCCACCTCAGCCAATGAAGCAGAAGGATAAAGACACAAACATCATTGGTAAGTTTACTAGCATGACACCCTAGTCACCCAACACACATGCATATTTTAATAGTGTTTTCATCACTTTTATGCTTTAAACTGGCTGTAATAGACTGATTTCACGTGGCTGCCATTTTTAAAAGCGAAATCGAGACTGCGGTGGAAAGAAACCCGGAAGTACAGTATGGTTGGGAGTTACATAGGAACGTTGTGTAGCTGGCTGTATATCTTATCAGCGAAGAGAAAGTGGCACAAATTTATCATTTCACCGTCTTCCCAGTGACCCGAAGGTCCGTTCTGAATGAATGGTGAAAATAAAAAGGGATATCACAGCTCATTTTCAGCTAAGTTAAGGAAAATGGCACTAGTTATCTAATGTTTTCTTTCCCAAACACACGTTTTAGATGCCCTTTATCAAACTCAAGTTAATGAACTGATTCTTTCACCATATTAGACTTGTCACGATACTGAATTTAAAGAAAAAACGTCAATTTCCTGTTAACATTTAAGGCACTGTAGATGCCTTTCTTAAAACAGCGCTGATTTGCCATTGTGTTCACCAGTGCTCAACAGAAATGCTTGTGATTGGCCGAGAAGGTCATCAGTTTAACCTCCGTTGTTTATCGAGTACAAACACAGACGAGCGAACTGCTTGATGACTCGACTGATCTTCACGGCTGCTTCGCGCTCCAGACTTCGTGTATCTGTGTTTGCACTGGGTGAAGTTGAGCTGAGCTGAGTGCAAACACAGATACACAGAGACTGGAGCAGCCGTGAAGATCAGTTGAGTCATCCGTGCTCAGCGGCGCTTTAATGTTAGCGGAAATGGACAGTTTTAAAACTTCAATACCGGGACAACACTATTACAGACAACACGAGGATGTGCTACAGAGGACTGCAGTGTTTTATCACTCACTGGGTGACATAGGCTGAAGCAGGAAAGCGTCCCCTCAGTGTTTAAACTAGTGCTATGAACTGAAGCCCAGGAGGACACTTGAGCATATTACTCTTACAGAGATTGTGATGTTGTTTGATGCTTAATTGCTTTCAATTGTTTCAATTAAACTTACTGATTGATATTAAAGTGATGTTTACACCATTTCTGCACTTTAAATTCTTATAATAATACACAGCATGTTACTGCAATGTTTACAGTGCTGGTCCTATACTTCCTGGTTTCTTCCCACCGCAGCCTCACTTTGGTTCTTTAAAATGGCGGCCGCGTGAAATAAGCGCATACACATTTTGTCCAGGGATAGCTGATAACTGAGATGGAAATATCTATATAAATCATAATCAAATATATAGGGAAGACAGAAAAAGAAGGATTTAGATGATGGGGTTAATTCTGCTGTGGTAACCCCTGATGGAGCAGGTAGTTTTACACAAAGGTAGCACTGTCACTAATTCACAAGTTTTATTAACTTCTCTTATTTTTCTTTTTACAGAGATCAAAACAAGGAGCTATAAAATTGGAGCTAAGCTGGGCAAAGGAGGCTTTGGAACTGTTTTCGAAGGAACCCGTTTACAAGATGGCCAACATGTTGCAGTGAAAATTGCCACGTTCGAGGTCAAGCGATTCATCCGTGTTGTAAGTAGTCTGTGCTCTTTGCTCTGAATAACTGTGTCTATTTCAAACATGTCAATTTAGAGGTGCTGTGTGTACGTTTTTGACTCTTTTAAAGTACATAAATACCATAATATGTTTGCAGATATTTTAGAAATGTGCTATGTGTCAGTTATTCTCCTTTATAAATGTGTCTGTCTTTGTTTTGCTCTTTATGATCTGCCCACTGCTTTTTATGATAGACGTCAGCAACAGTTTTAACAGGAAACAACTTTATCAAACGATCTTAACAACTGTCTTTCTTCTAGGATGGATTTGACCAGCCACTTCCAGCGGAGATCGCTCTGCACTTTCTTGCCAATAAAGGCATTAGGGTTAAAGAAATTATTAAGCTTCTGGAATGGAAGGTGGAGGCCGATCGCTACATTATGATCCTAGAGCGGCCCATAACCTTTATGAGCTTAGATGAATATTTAAAAAACCACAGTGGAAACATCGGAGAGGACTTGTTACGGAAAATCATGTTCCAGACAACAACCGCAGCTCACGCGTGCTGCAAACGCAATGTGTTTCACCGCGATATCAAGCCTGACAACTTGCTGTTTAGCCCACTGACCTTTGAAGTCAAATTGATTGACTTCGGGTGTGGTGAACTCCTAACTGAAGGCTTCTACTCTGACTATTGGGGTAAGTAAATCCCTCAAAGCTCTAAGGAGCTCTTGTGATGGCTCAAGGGTCACATCTGTTGTTGTTTATCTATACCAGAGGTGCCAAGGCTCAGTCCTAGAGGGCCGGTGGCCTACAGAGTTTAGCTCCAACTACTTTCAACACACCTGACAGAAAATGTTTCAAGAGTTCACAAAAAGAGTGATTGATTATAAAGCTTGTTTGGCATGCTCATAAGCTCAAAAGAGGAGTAGGGGTGGATGGGGGGATTCTTCAAATCGAAGATGGCTGTTATATGGAACTAGAGTATCTATAGTGGCTTAGGAATCGTCTGATTGGTGAATCATGAATTGAATAATGTAAGGCCGGCTGCAAGGAATAAGCACATGATCCTGTCGAAATTAGTTTATAAATAAACTTCACTTAGAATTCTTAGTAAGAGCTTGATTAGCTTGTTCAGGTGTGTCTGATTGGGGGGAGTTAAACTCTGCAGGACACAGATCCTCCAGGACCGGGTTTGGGTACGCCTGATCTGTTGTTTACATGGAAATTTAGATGTTGTGCTAATGGAAACACATTCTTTTTTTAGGCACATTAAAGTACTGCCCTCCAGAGTTTAGAAAGACTGGCATATACTACGGCGAGCCAGCGACAGTGTGGTCACTCGGGATTCTCCAGTATTTCCTAATGTTCCGAAAGTATCCAGAAAACCGTCAACTCCTCAAGTTGAAAAGCGGTTATTTTCAGAAATATGGATGGTCAAAAGGTGAGATCTGCACTTCAGCTAAAGAGAGTGGTGATGGACATTTTGAATGTCAATGAAAGGTTTACAATTTAAGGTAATAATTACATGCATCTCTTCCTCTTTTTCTACACAGAATGCAGCGATTTCATCACCGGTTGTCTGCAGATTACCTACAGCAATCGGCTAAAGCTGCATACACTCCGTGTCCATGCCTGGTTTGAGGTAATGAATAGATTTTGATGTCAGTGAAATTAAACAGTCATGAGCTGAGTTTCCATCCTAATGTGAAGCACATCTTCTCAAAGTGCACTAAATATATATATTTAGTATTTATAAATGCGGATTATGTGCTAATGATTTCCATCAAGTTGGTCGAGCAGCTGATCTGTAGTATTGGTAACCTCATAACCAACAGTAAACAAGTGTAATTGAGAAATGTTCGCTACATCAAGGTTAATTTGACAAATGTATTTCCATCATGAACCCTTTTACACACGAGTCCAAAATGACCTCAAGTGAGCATTAAAACGTTTTGTGAATTAAGGGATTTTTACTGAAACTCGTTTCTCATGTGATACTTAAGAAGAAGCATTAACACAGGCTGATGGAAACCCAGCTAGTGTCAGATGACAGTCTTGTGTTCTTAAGTTTCCTTTTTTACTTGACATTTATTCCTTTTCTTTTAATGATATGTCGTTTGTTTAATGCATTAAAGCTGTAAACCTGATCACTGCTTTTGTTTCAGGAGGAGAACGAGCAGTAATGAGGAGAAATGGCATTTAGCCAGTCCAACCACACCAACACAGTCCTTTAGCTAAACATAACTTCATCCATTACAGAGAGAAAAAGCTGAACATAATTTGGTTCTGCATTGTTACATCTCACCTATTTTTCAACATGTACACTGGCTCTAATGAAATTTCATATAAAGAAAAAAAAAGCACTTAACAGTCTAGAGTAGACCTTCATATAGTGTACATACTCCTTCCCGCACTTTAAATTCAGCTTTTGCTTTAACTCTTACACTTCCATGTGCTAAAATAAAATGTATAATAAAAAAAATAAATAAAAATATATATCTCAGTCGTTCCCAGTCCAGGTCCATATATTTTGGGTGTCTTTTTCTAAAATATGTAATTTGAGCCAGAAGAGAGAGACTCCCGACCAATGACTACTGGGATCAACTGATATATATACAGGGTTTCCAATGAACATTATCACTCACCAGCCAATTCGGCCACAAAACTGTAAAAAATTATTAAATAAAACAATAAAAAAGTAAAAATAATAAAAATTAAAAAACATTAATAAATAAAACAATAAAAAAGTCAAAATAATAAAAATTTAAAAACATTAATAAATAAAACAATAAAAAAGTCAAAATAAATAAATAAAAAAAACATCATTATAAATTAAACAATAAAAAAGTAAAAAAATATTAAAATAAAAAACATCATTAATAAATAAAACGATAAAAACGGCCTGTATTGAAGTATAGTGTTATATAATGTTGGCCATTTTATCGACCAATCAGAAATTCTTCTAGAAACAAAAAAAAAATTTTAATAAATAAAACATAAAAAGTAAGTTATGCTATTCATTACTCATCCTCATGTTCATCTTCAGAAGTATTTTTACTATTTTTATTTTTATCTTAGAGCTCCCTCATCCAGACTCAAAGTCCACAAAACATCCTCAAAACAGACAATATGCCTTCACATAAAACAAACATTTTCATTCACAGTTTCTTCTCCTCAGTGTGATTATAGGACACGCGTTCACAAGCACTGTGCAGTGACATACACCTCTCCGGATGCCTGCGCACGACTTCCTCTCTTTAAAAAAATGCACAAGCGCATCCAGAGTTGTATGTCAGAGGCACGAAATGTGAACGCGTGCCCTATACTGACACTGAGGGAAGAAACTGTTGAATCAAGTTATTTTGTTTTATGTGCAAATAAAAGTATTCTCATAGTCAGGAATCTTGCTGTCTATGAAGGATTAAGGAGATCTCTTCATTCAGATATCTTCATTCGTGTTCTGAAGATGAATAAAGTTCCTACCTTTAGTATTTGCTTTAAATCTTTAATAAATAAAACAATTTTAAAAATAAATTTAAAAACATCATTGTAAATAAAACAATAAAAACTGCCTGTATTAAAATATAAATCTATAACTGGCCATGCTATTGACCAATCAGAAATTCTAGAAACGAAAAATTAATAATAAATAAAACAAAAAAAGTAAGTTATGTTATTCATTACTCATCCTCATGTTCATCTTCAGAAGTATTTTTACTATTTTTATTTTTATCTTAGATATTCTCCTTCATCCAGAAGTCCACAAAAACATCCTCAAAACAGATTATGTGCCTTCACATAAAACAAACATTTTCATTCACAGTTTCTTCTCCTCAGTGTGATTATAGGACACGCGTTCACAAGCACTGTGCAGTGACATACACCCCACCGGATGCCTGCGCACGACTTCCTCTCTTTAAAAAAATGCACAAGCGCATCCAGAGTTGTATGTCAGAGGCGCGACATGGGAACGCGTGCCCTATACTGACACTGAGGGAAAAAACTGTTGAATCAAGTTATTTTTGTTTTATGTGCAAATTAAAGTATTCTCATAGTCAGAAATCTTGCTGTCTATGAAGGATTAAGGAAATCTCTTCATTCAAATATCTTCATTCGTGTTTTGTAGATGAATAAAGTTACTACCTTTAGTATTTGCTTTAATATTGTCTTCATATACAACCTTTAAAATTAATAAATAAAACAGTAAAAAAAGTCAAAAATAGTAAAAAAAAAAAACATCATTATAAATAAAACAATAAAAAAGTAAAAAAAAAAAAAACATCACTATAAATAAAACAATTAAAAAGTAAAAAAATATAAAATTAAATTAAAAACATCAATAATTAATAAAACTATAAAAACTGCCTGTATCGAAATATAAATCTATAACTGGCCATGTTATTGACAAATCAGAAATTCTTCTTGAAACAAAAAAAAGTTATAATAAATAAAACATTAAAAACAGTAAGTTATGTAATTCATTACTCATCCTCATGTTCATCTTCAGAAGTATTTTTTACTATTTTTGTACTATTTATTTATTTACTATTTTTTGTTGTAGTTTATGGTGAGTGATAATCCAAACCCTGTATATATAGGTGGCGAGGTCCGTTCCTCCACGTGGTGCCACTGGAAACTGCCCATCTTAAAGGTGGTGCTGAGCTGAACACGGACAAAAACTGACATTAGTCTGAGGCGACAAGCCTCACAAATGATGACAATTATGAATTTTGTACTAGAGTTTGAAATAAAGTCACATTTCCCAGCTAGCAAAATTAATGTGGCTCAAATCCAGCCCAAGATCCAAAGAAAATCGGCACTCTGCCACTTTAGCTCTCAAAAATCTTTAATGTCAATGTCACAACGTTTTGACCGACATGGTCTTCATCAGGTAAAGCATTACAAATGGGAGTACTCAAATCCAGCCCACACCAGACACTTCCCAGGTTTAGCAAAGAATTGTGGCCCAGATTTGGCATTAATCTGGCGCAGCAGACATTCATCCGGCACTGGCATACAGCATGAGGGCCAAACATGGCCCTGGTTTTAAGGCGGCACAGAAAACTTGGGCCAGATGTAAAGATTTGGCCCAGATGTGGGCCATGGAAGTTTGGCCTATCTTGACCCACATTTAAAATACATTTTTATTATTTTCAAATAAAGTAAGAAAATCTACCAATCAGATGGCTAAGAGAAAAAGCACACCCCATAGCACATCTAAAGCGCAGTGATACAAGGGTTTATCAAATTCATTGCAGTGACACACCAACATATCTGGCCATAGACTCAGTTATGGGATATTAACTTGGCTGAGACTTGGCCCAGACATGGTCTATGTTTGGCCCTTGTCTGGAAGCCAGATTTGGTCCAGTCATGTATCGTAATTCACTGCGGCATGTGGGCCAAGTGAAAGCTAGTTGTGTGGGCCAGATCTGAGCCAGAGATATTTTGCTATGTGGGTTACATCCGGATGGAATGATGGCACTTGGGCGGTCCGCTTCTGTATGCCAGACCTGGGCCACAATTAAGCCATATCAATATCACATATCAGCCAGAATTCGACCAAATGAACCAGAACTCTATTCTGGGCCACAGTTTGCTTCTATTCTGGCCCAGATCTGGCCAACACATTACACTTGCTGGGTGTGACAAAGAACAAAAATCCCAGCATGCATAGCAGTATGAATACATTATACAGCTTATTGATGCTCCAGTTTTCATTATTTGCTGTTGATTCTGCTGTTTATGTTGACGCTGTTGATTTTGTCACTTTTAGTAACCTTTTTGTTATGTTTGTGAGTTTTGTTCATTTTGTTAATTGTCACCGTTGTTGAGGTTCATACGCTGATTATTGATGTCTCTGTGAGCAGAAGTTGAACCATAGAATTTTTTTAGCTTGTAAACTTTCCTAAACCTGTGGCATGTGCAAGCATGTTATTACGTACCTCTAATAATGGATTACACATTGGTTAACATCAGTGAATTATATTATTTCATCACAGGTTGTGCCTCACTTATTTTTATAGTTTTTTTTACTTGGCTTGTTTGTTTAATAAATAAACTTTTCAAGCAAAGTTCTTAAAAGTTACAGCAGCCCAAAAGAAAATTTACATTGAGAGGTTCAGGGCTACGAGCCCAACTAAAGCTATAGCTGCGTCTCAAATGGCACACTATGCACTCATGCACTATGTACTTTTGCACTAACACACTCAACAGCGCGATAATCTTAATATTATTTGTAGTATGTGCTGTGCCGTGGTTTTCATATGCGCACGTTTAAGATTTGAGATAATAAAAATCGCCCCGAAATTCGCAATTTCAAGAGTTCACACTTAGCTCACGATTTATACATAGCTTGTTTGGAATGCTGTTCCGGGAGAGAGCCCTGAGCTCAAGGGATCCTTGAGCCCAGGGCTCCCCCTTTTCGCAGGGCGAGGGGAGATTGAGCTCAGGTCGATCTCAAACTCCCCTGCTGCTGAGGCCAAGGCGAACTTCCTGAGAGTAAAACATTAGAAAAAAGATTTAGGCTTATTTTATCTATAAAATAGAGCACATTTGAATGGTGGAAGGAAACCGGGGAAAACCCACGCGGACAAGGGGAGAACATGCAAACTCTGCACAGACATATCAGATGGCCCAGTGAGGACCCAACGCTATTGGTATTCTTGCTGTGAGGCAACAGTGCTAGTCACTGAGCCACTGTGCCGCCCTTTCTGGATAAAGGTGGGAGGAGGGGAGGGGGGGGGGGGGGTTCTTCCAGACAAAGATAGTTGTGGAGAGGAAATGAGGATATATATAGTGACTTGGGATCCTTTGATTGGAGGATCATGATTAGCTAATGTGGACCAGCTGGGTCAAT